TGAGGGAGGGACCTGATGGGAGGTAACTGGATCATGGGGGCAAATTTCCCCTTCCTGTTCTTATGGTAGTGAGTGTGTTCTCATGCAATCTGGTTGTTTAAAAGTGTGTAGCACTTCACCCTTAGCTCTCTCTCTTCTGCCACCATGTGAAGACGTGCTTGCTTCTTCTTCACCCTTCTGCCATGACTTTGAGTCTCCTGAGGCTTCCCCAGCCATGCCTCCCGTACAGCCTGTGGAACTGTGAGTCAATTAAATCTCTTTTCTTTATAAGTTACCCAATTTCAAGTAGCTTTGTATAGCAGTTTAAATAACACAAAGTTGAACAAAAATAAGTTGAACATAAATAAGTAATCACTCTAGTACCATAGGGTGAGTGTGGACTATTCTTCAAAAGAGTTAGAAGCACACTCTTGGTGCTAGTCTCAGAATCAATTAAGAGACTGACAGGCAAGGGCTATGGAGCAAAGAAGAAAGCTTCATCTCCAGTCAGGGGCAGCTAGTTAACCTGAACCTGATCTTCCATCAAAAGTTTTGATAAGAAAGGAGCAAACGGTTAACAGGACTCACTCCCACCACTGGATGAAGACTGATAGAAAAGTCCTACGAAGCCTAGAGAGTGTTAGACCCAGGGCCTTTATACAATCTATTTCAATATCTTAACAGATAATTACACTCAATAGAACATCTGTTTGCATTGATATGATATACAAGTAATATTAATGAGTCAAAACTTTGTCTACTGTCCCAGTCGTGGAATGAAATCTTATTATCCTAACCAGCACATAAAAACTTGGATTTTTTAATTAATAATTATTAATACATTAGAAATTTAATCAGATTTGGCACAATATTATTTTTTAATTTAATCAAACATTGGCTATTTAGGATCGGAAAAAAAAATCACCCAATACATTAAACTAATATTAGTTTATTTAATAGTTTTTATAGTTTTAATTTTTAAATTTAATTTATAAATGCGTTTTGATTAATAGTTATATAAGAGACCAGAAAAAGAATGGACATCTAATTTTTTTATTTGTAAATACATGACATTATAAAGTTTACAGTTTAGCACTGGGAATCTGTGAGAATTTTTCCCATGAAGGAGACAGGAAAACTCCATTCCTGAGTTATTTGCATTTTAACAATGTGCCATCAGAGACCAAAAGGTCTTCAATAATCAAAGAAATAACATTCCAAATTTGCAAATGCAGCTACTCATAGATAGAGAAAGAGATAACTGTAACACCAACCATAAGCAAAATATGGCTTATGGGTCACCATCCAACCTGATGCGCACAAGTCCCAATACTCCACATGGGGAGGCGGGAGTGAGTGTGTGTGTGTGTGTATGTGTGTGTGTGTGTGTGTGTGTGTGTGTACATGTGTATGAATAAAACTGTTAGAAACATAATACAACATAGAATATAGACATTTTTAATCAGCTACTTTATATAAGCAAGTAAAAAATGTACGTTTTCAAAATAGTAAGAAAAACATCTATCAAGATAACAGTAAAAAAAATAACAATAATAAATTAAGAGCACCACTATCACCACTTCATGCCATACACAAATGCTGTTGCCTAGGGATATGTTTGTTGAAACTCCTCAGAAGAGTTTGGAAAGCTGAGGATTAATAATCACAGACACCAACTCGGCGTGATGGCTCACACCTGTAATCCCAACACTTTAGGGGGCCAAGGCGGACAATCACTTGAAATTAGCAGTTTGAGGCCAGCCTGGCCAACATGGTGAAGCCCCATCTCTACTAAAAATACAAAAATTAGCCAGCCATGGTGGCATGCACCTGCAGTCTCAGCTACCCAAGAGGCTGAGGCAGGAGAGTTGCTTGAACCTGGGAGGCTGAGGTTGCAGTGAGACAAGATCTTGCCACTGCACTCCAGCCTGGGCAACAGAGCAAGACCCTGTCTCAAAAAAATAAAATATAATAATAATCCCAGATACCGGTGTCATGTGACCACACTTTGGCCATATCAAACAAATTGATTTAGGCCTCAAGGCAGATTCAAAATATTTGTGTTTTTCATTTTAGCGTCTGCAATCTAATGATGCTGACATTATTGAAGTATAGAATATGAGTCTCTACTTCACATTGGAATACACTTTCTGAAATCTAATTATATTCCTGTTTTTTTTTTCTATGTACTGTGATCTCTATTTCTTAACTCTCTACTGTTATTTTATTAGGCAAAGACACTTAGGCCATCTATGAAGATAGGATATATGATACAAATAATTGAATTTGTTGTTTAAAGACTCTAATAACAGAGTTTTTGTTATTTGTTGTAGTTTTTATTGCTACAACTACTACTTAATTTTTAATTCAAGGTGCTTCTTTTATTTTGCAGTTACACTTTATGATGTTCTTTCACTGTAATAAATCTAGTGAACCAGCTTCTGTACAATCTTTTTATGCTTGGGTGCTTTGTTTTAAATTCAACTTTTAAGTCTGCTGGTAAATAGAAAATAATTTGTTAGTAATTTCTTATACTCATAATTGTAATAATGTGGATTAATGGTGAAGAGTTCAGGCTTTAAATGGTGTTCAAACACGTTGGCACCATCAGTGGCTAGCTGTGAGATCATGAAAATGTTCCTGAATTTCTAATCTCAGTTTTCTTAGCTTTAAAGTTTTTAATTTAAAAATAATAGTGCCTATTTCACAGCATTGTGAAGATTGAAAATTCACACAAAAAAGTTAGCTCTTGCTAGGTGCAATTAATCTTACAATTGATTCCACATTCACAAGAAATCACAGCATTGGGTGAGATGTAGTAAGAGGTCATCAAGTACTAATCAACTATTGATTGCTGTGCTCTGGAAGAAAAATAGAAGTGTTGGCAATATATAACAAACCATTTCCAATCCATTTTAAGTGAATCATGGAATATATTGCATAATTTCATTACTAGTTACTCAGGTTTCCTAGCTTATGTTTCCTACACACCGGTAGACAAGGGTAGCCTATGGACCAAGTAGAAGAGGTATCTCACCTTTCCTTATCATTACTATTATTCATTCTGTATTCACAGAGTACATGATGCACAAATGAAACAGAAAGAGTAAATATATGAGGATTGTTATTTTATCTGATCTTAGGACAAATTTACCTGTGTAAATCATTATGTGTCACCATGACAATAGATTGTAAAAACTGGTGTGAAATAATTGCTACCAATGCCACCTCTTTAAAATGAAAGCATAATGATAGTAATTTTAACTACTGTTGTTGCTGATCATTAAGATTTATTCTAATCATTAAGTAGGTTTTTTAAACTTTCTAGATAAAATAACATTGTATAAAGAGGGGTAGCTAAACTAGTCATATTTTTGTTTTGGAATTCAGAAAAATATTTTAAAAGATAATAGAAATGCTGACACATAAATAAAATTAGGTACATAATTTATACAAACGGCACCAAATTTTCCAGGAGTGTGGTTTTAAAGAATATATTACAGGAACTAAAAAGTGAATCATTTTCAGTTTCTCAAGTCCCTGTCAAATGATGTGTTTCCCTCAATGAAGATTAACTCTTCAATGCCAAAGTAGTATTCCAGTATTACTGCAAATACCAGGAAATCCATATAGAGAATCATTTTTCATTAGCAACTGAATGTGTAAATGAAAGAGGAGAGTGAATACCACCTTAATTAGCCAAGTTAAATTGTTTATCTAAATAGCTTAAGTCAGTCTCCATTCCCATGTGAATTAGACCACAGCTGCATGTAAAGATGCCTAATTTTGCATTTTCCCACCTGTATCCAAACATTCTCCTCTGCTTAAATGGACCATGAGTCAGGAGACTTGGACTTTCCTCCCTGGTTTTCCGTTAGAAATCACATTCCCTGGGCCTCAATATGCCCATCTGAAAAAATGACAAAGTTGAACAAGTTGATCTGCAAATTAGAATAATGGACTCTTCACACCCTAACATATGTGAAAAGAGATTTGATGTATTTTGGGTACCTATCTGTGAAAAAAAGTATCTTAGCTTCAGTTATTAAACAAGAGGAATGTGAAAAGTCATCTGCATAAAGAACATTTATTATTTTAATTGGTTTACTAGCAAAATTCAGTTAATAAAGTAAGTAAGCCCTTCTCTTACTTGAAAAAATCAAAATTGAATATTTGCCTAGTATTAAGCAGACATTCTTACCTATCCAATTCTTATTTTACTGCATAAAATACACTTTTAAGATTTTAAGCACACACAAAAAAAACTTCAATAGGATACTTGCTCTTTTGCACCCTTATTCTATAGCTTTTCTATGGAATAATATTCCCTAAGTGTCGGGGGTAGGACTAGGAGATGCATTTTTAAATGCAATTTTGTTTCTTAAAACATAGTGATTTTCCTATATTTTTCCAAGCCTCACATCTCAGTCCGTTTTAACTCTGTTTACTCTTCTTCCCAGGTACACACTCTCTCCCTCTCTTCCTCTCCATCCTCAACCTTTCCTTGTGTCTTTTGCCAGTAGGTGCACTTCGGGCGCATCTTCTCTCCCCGCCCCTCTCCACGGCGTTTCCACGCTACCCACAGCTACCTGTGCTCTTACCTGTCGGCACTGAGGGCAGTAAGAGTGAACACAGAAACCCCAACAGAAGTGAGCTGGATGACCGGGATCAGTTTGCAGCCCACCTTGCCAAACATCCACTCATCGAAGAAATAGCGCGAGGCGTCCACCGGGACGCAGGTGAGCAGCAGCAGCAAGTCCCCAGCCGCCAGGTTAGAGATGAAGATGTTGGGGACGCTCCTCATGGCGCTGTTGGTGATGAAGATCTTCACCAGTATGATATTGCCCAGCAAGCCCACGGTAATGATGAGCAGGTAGAGGGACGGAATCACACAGCGAATCACCAACTCCGCGGTGGTCCCGTCCGAGGCCGGCAGGAAATCCCTTTCCCACCCCTCGGGAACAGAACCGCTCTCATTCGCGCCTGTGGTCACCGAGAGGTTGGAAAGAGACTTGGGGGGCATGATCTCCTTTCCAGCAGAGTCCGCTGGAGTTTTCAGGCGCTCCGGTGCCCTGAGGACTGAACGCGCACGATTTGGGTTTAATCGATGTCCCTCCCTCTCGCCCCTAACAAGTTTACTGCCCGCAGGGCGCGCGTCACAGCGCCCAGTCCCTAAGAGTTCAGGACCTGGGGAGAGGATCCGTCCACACACTCTGGCGCTCCTCTTCTCGAGGGGGGTAGACGGCTCAAGCTAACTCTGAATTTAATTAAAAAAAAAAAAAAAAGCAAAGCGGTTGCGTCTTTGTTCAGTGTTCAGTGGCTTGTTCTCGCGGTTAGCTAACGGAAAACAGCCTCTCAGGAACAAGGAGCTGTCCCTCGGGATCAGTAGAAGCACCTGCCCGACTGTTCGCCCGGAGTAGCGGAAGTCATCCTGGCGCTGTCCAGCGGGCTGCGGCTGAAATCCTGGGAATTAGCGAGGGGCCACCCTCAACGTGCTTTTCCTGCAGCTTTGTTCTTGTATGTGAAGTTCTTGTTGTATTCTGTGGAATTGGAGGGGAGCTCAGTCGTGTGTGTGTGTGTGTGTGTGTGTGTGTGTGTGTGTGTGTGCGCCTGCCCATATATACATCCACTCTTACCCGCCTCCAAGCGGGAGGAGCCCGAGGCAAGAAGTTTGGAATCTGAGGATTTAAGGGCTGAGCTGGCAAGTCCCTAATGCTGAACTACAGAATTTAGGGGGAGAAAATGAGTGCCAAAGAATAAAGTTCATAAATGAAATCCTCTCGCTACTATTCTTCTGATTATCTACTTTTCTTACCTTACATGTGAAAAGTATTTCCTATAGTTGGCATATTATGTTTAAATTTATATTGTATTGCATTATAACTTGTATAATGTACACATTTCTTAATCGTCCTGCTTAATATAACCATCATTCAGAGCCCAGAATCTAACCACCATCTCCCAAAATAATCACTATTTGACTTGTTATTAGATTACTGGGCCTCTTATTGAGCATCGTATAAAGGGAATGATTCAGCATACACTCTTGTGTCTAGGTTCTTTCACTGGACACCATATCTGTGATCCACTCATTTTCTCAGGCTGCATTTTTTATTACTATATACTACATCATTTTATAAATATACCACTATTTAGCTATTCTATATTGATTAACATTTGGATTCCTTATAATTTTAGCCAACTTGAATAATGTTTCCATGAA